CAAGACTTAAACTCAAGACATCAACACAACACAGGACATCAACACAAGACGTCCACAACACAAGACATCAACACAAGACATCAACACAACACAAGAAATCAACACAACTCAACACGTCAACACAACACCAGACATCAACACAAGACTTCAACACTTTAACTCAAGACGTCAACACATGACTTTAACTCAACACTTAAACTCAACACATCAACACAACACAAGACTTCAACACTTTAACTCAACACTTTAACTCAACACTTCAACACAACATTAAAAGCTTCATGTGATGAGAGAAAATCTTTTCTGTTCATTTGATTTCAGCTGTAATTCTTTGTTTTAATCTCATTTTTATTTCTGAGAGAAACTGACAATAGAGACAACCAACACCTTCACAATAAAAGCTCCCACCCTGTGAATGAGCTCAACGGGCAGCACTTCCGGTCATGACGACTCTAACTTTGAAAGTCTTGAGCTAGCAGTAGCACAACATGTCGGCTCCAGTCGCATTGTTAAAAACCCGTTTGTCGGTTCTTTGCCGGCTTAACTTGTCTCCGCCGATGACGAGGACTCTCCTGGGGACGACTCACCGGGGAAGGTGTCCCGCCGGCGGCAGGTGGATGTCTCAGACAGGTATGGTCCCGGAGCCGAAGCTAACAGGCTAACGATAGCAGCGATGACGTCAGTGGAGGGTCTCCGTGGTAACTGACGTGTGTGAACGTCACGTGATGTCCGGTGGAAAGTGGTTTCCATGAACTGATGTTAAATAAAGATGGACGAAACAACTTCTCCTTCAAGTGAAGCCACGTCGACATTATCTCCCCCTGGCGGCAGACTCCAGTACAGGTCAGAAACATGCTCCATGTTAGCAGATGGGACAAACTAAAAGAAATATGGTTCTTATCACACTGAGAGAAACTTATCGAGCCGCATTTCACTGTTAGAGTTATTAAATGGACAGCTGAACCTGACTCCTGATTGGCTGAGAGCGTGTATGGGCGGGACCTTGATACCAGCGCTCAACAATCATGACTTCTTTTGGCTTCATTTCTGGAGGAAGTGGAGACGTGTCGGCCATCTTTATTTACAGTCTTTGCTCTTTATTTAAAATCTTGTGTTTCAATACAAATTACTTATTTATTTAGATGGGATGTGAATTGATCACCTACAGGAAACAGACATTAAAATGAGCCTCTCCAATGTTAACGAGCTTCTTATTGCATTCACTGAGTTAAATGATGTTACCTTTAGCTCCCTCCTCTGCTCAGACTCGTTCAGCATCAGATCCTCCTCGGTCTTCAGGTGAGAGGTGGAGCAGACAGACAGGAAGTGATCATGTGATCATGTTGACATCACCTGACACCGTCGTCAGCTCTCATCACCACAAACTGTCTTCACGTCTTCGTCTGTCTTCTATGTGTGTGTCAGCACTTTGTCTCCAGAGACATTTGTTTGTGTKTCTTCATGTTTGTGTCACGTGTTAGAAGCTCATCACCCCCCCACTCCCTCAGTGGATCAGTGGAGGACGCTCTGCTGTGTCCTCACTTCTCCTGGACTTAGACTTTAAACTGGAGTGAAGGAGGAGACAGACAAACTGAGTCTCACTGTCCTCCAGAGAAGATCCAGAGACSTGAGGAGTTCAGTCTGAAGACGCTCAGCTGGCAGCAGAGTTTTTATCTGTAAAAAGATCAACTCTTGTAGTCTTAATGTCTGAATTTGATTTAAACAGGAGGAAACCTGCAACCACTGGAGGGCGTTAGAGTGTTAGACCTGACGAGGTAATATTCAGTTTCCTTTTCTTTTCTTTTTTTTTTCACGGATCCAGAGGAAACGTGATGAATGTTTTTAAACGTTGGCAGAGTTCTGGCTGGTCCCTTCGCCACCATGATCCTGGGAGATCTGGGAGCTGAGGTGATCAAAGTGGAAAGACCAGGTGTGTCTGAAACTCCTCCCACCTCACGTTATAATCTGTTTCTGCACAGTTGGGGGGAATTATGGGTAATTCTTTCTGTGTGTTTGTTGGACAGGAGCAGGTGATGACACCAGAGTCTGGGGTCCTCCATTCATCTCTTCAGAGAGTGTCTACTTCCTGAGCATCAACAGAAACAAAAAGGTCCAATGCATTCATACA